GAGGGCTGGCAGAAACTCAAAGAAGAGAAAGGCGGACTGGTGAAACCGAAAATTGTTTTCTTTGGTGAAGAGTTGCCTGAGAGGTTTGCACGTTTGCATCGAACCGACTTAGCAAATTGCGATCTATTGATCGTGATGGGTACCTCGCTTGTGGTACATCCCTTTGCTGGACTTGTGAGCTACGCAGCACGCACAGCGCCGCGTCTACTTGTCAACCGAGATCAAGCAGGAACCTGCGAGAGCTTGAAGTTCGGTTTCCGTTTTCATTTAGAAAAGGGAAAGAATTGGAGGGATGTGTTTCACGAGGGTGACTGCGATGGTGGCTGCACAGCTTTGGCAGACCTGCTAGGCTGGAAGGCAGACCTTGAGGCTTTAATTGAATCCAAGGGCCAAGCTTCTGTACAGAAGGCCCCTTGGGTGGAATAACTAAATTCCAATTCACAAGAAATTCAGAGAAAGGAATCTATATATGACTATTACATACTATTACATTAAAAGGTAACCCTTCGGCCCATTGCGCACGTCCTGTCGGAAACCCGATACTACAAACGGGCGCCGGTGCTGTGAGCTGGCTGCGCGCGCTTTCGAGACAGGGTGCTGGTGCTGTGAGCTGGGTGTGCGCGTGGTGGAGATACTAGGTACCTGTGTTCAGTCGTTTGGTCTTGTAGAAAGTCGTCTGGATGCTGCGTTTACATTGGGGATAGATGCAAGATGGCAATATAACTGGAAGAGTATCAGGTCAACAACATTGTTTTGATGCTGCGTTTACATGCGGTTTAGGTGCAAGATGTCAATCTCATTGGAAGATAAGCTTTGGAGTGTCAGTTCAACACCATTGTTTGGATGCTTCGTGTCCATGCAGGTTACGGGGAAGGCTCGAGCATCCGTGGAACACCTTATGAAGAATAGGTTGATTTCTTGCAGTGATCATAGATTCAGGGCAAGCATATAGTCATATTCGACATGCTACATCTATGTTTAGGGGCTAATTTTCACGATAGTCTTATCCTTGCGTTCTGATTGGGTTTCGGCCACCAAAACGCTGCAAACTTCGACATGAATCTAGTTGTTTTGTGCACAGGCGCAATGGATTCTTGATGCCCAATAGTTTTGACACACATGCTTCCTAGAGCAGTTCCATTGTTTTCCTAATATAAAACGGGTGACTTTTCACTAAAATTCCGGGTGAAAAACCCGACGCTAGGGTGCTGGTGCTAGTGCTGGGTGCTGGTGCCGGTTGCTGGTCGGTGCTGTGAGCTGGGTGTGCGTGTAGTGGAGACAGGGTGCGGGTGTCGGTGCCGGCTGTTGTTGCTGCAGGGTGTCGCTGCCAGATGTGTGGCCGCGCGCGCTTTGGGACTTGGGTGCTGCTGCCGGTGCAGGGTGCCGCTGCCAGATGTAGCCGTATGCGCTTTGAAGCCTCGGTGGTTGTGCCGCTGCATGGTGCCACTGCTAGATGTGTGGCCGTGTGCGCTTTGAAGCCTGGGTTGTTGCCGCTGCAAGGTGTTGCTGCCAGACGTGTGGCTGTAGTCGTAGTGGCAGTCTGTAGTATAGTCCTTGTAGTGGTGGAGGTGGTGGTGGTGTTGGCGGCTGAGGTAGTCGTAGTCATAGCAGTCGTGGTCGTATATTTGAGTAGTATTGTGTAGTTGTATAGTCGTAGTCATAGTCGGAGTCGTAGTCGTACTCGTAGTGGGGGTAGTAGTATTAGTAGTAGTAATAGTAGTAGTAGGAGGAGGAGGTGTCGTTATCGCCGTGGTAATAGTGGTAATAGAAATAGAAATAGAAGAAAAAATAGTAATAGTAATAAATATTATTGGAAAACATATAAAATATATAATTATATTGTTTGAAAATATTTGAAATAATTATTAATTATAACTTGATATTTAAATTGTTTATATTTTGTATATTTATATTATTTTTAAAACAATTTTTGGATGTAATATTAAAATATAATATTGAATTTAATAAATATATTTATTAAACAATTTTTAAAATATATTATTTAATAGATTTTTCTTTAAATAATTTATTATTGAGGTTTTATTTGAGAACAAAAAGAATTGGTTTCCCACTTAGTGATCGCTCTTGAACTCTGTGGCTGGGTTTTGTGGTTCTTTTTGGTCGTATTCCTGAATGTTATTAATTCTAGGGTTGGATATTGTGGTTTTATTTGCGGTTGGGCTTTGTTTTCTTCTTAGTCGCGCCCTGAATTTTGTTAATTTTGTAGTTGGACTTTGCGATTGGACTTTGTTTTTTGTCCTCCTTTTGGCCGCGCCTTTGCTTGTGCTCCTCTTGGCCGCGCCTCTGAATTCTGGCAACTCTGTGGTTGGGTTTTTCGGTTGGGCCTTGTTTTCTTCTTGTTTTCCTCTTGGCCGCGCCCCTGAACTCTGTTAATTTTCTGGCTGGGCTTTATGGTTGGATCTTGTCTTTTGCTTGGCCGCGCTTTTGAACTCTGTCAACTCTGTGGTTGGGCTTTGTGGCTGGGCCTTGTCCTCCTCTTGGTCGCGCCCCTGAACTCTGTTAACTCTGTGGCTGGGCTCTGTGGCTGGGCCTTGTCTTCCTCTTGTCCTCCTCTTGGTCGCGCTCCTGAATGTGTCAATTCTGTGGCTGGGCGAAAGAGAGCTTATAACCAACCAAGAAGGTTCGACAGCCCCGAGGCAGAGATAGAGCCTAGGTGGACCCTCCACTAGGATTTGGGGTCAAGACCTTGTCCTCCTCTTGGTCGCGCCCCTGAACTCTGTCAACTCTGTGGTTGGGCTCTGTGGCTGGGCCTTGTCTTCCTCTTGGCCACGCCCCTGAACTCTGTCAACTCTGTGGCTGGGCTTTGTGGCGCGGTTCTGTGGCTGGGCCTTGTCCTTCTCTTGTCTTCCTTGTCCTGTGGTTGGGCTGTGTGGCGCACGCTCTGACATATGCTCTAGAAAGGTGCGCTCAGAGCGTG